AAATGGGAATGCCTGACCACCTTATCTATCTCCTGAGAAACCTATATGTGGGACAGGAAGCAACAGTTAGAACTGGATATGGAACAACTGATTGTTTAAAAATTGGGAAAGGAGTATGACAAGGCTGTATATTGTCCCTGGCTTATTTAACTTACATGCAGAATACATCATGCGAGAGGCCGGATTGGAGGAATCCCAAGCTAGAATTAAGATTGCTGGAAAAAATATCAACAACCTCCGATATGCAGATGATGTATGGAAGCGAGAGCTGGACCATAAAGAAAGCTGACCGCCGAGGAATTGATGCTTTTGAATTGTGGTGCTGGAGGAGGCTCTTGAGGGTCCCCTGGACTGCAAGGAGAACAAACCTATCCATTCTGAAGGATATCAACCCTGAGTGCTCACTGGAAGGACAGATGCTGATGCTGAGGCTCCAATACTTTGGCCATCTCATGAGAAGAGAAGACTCCCTGGAAAAGACCTTGATGTTAGGAAAGTGTGAAGGCAAGAGGAGAAGGGGACAACAGAGGATGAGGTGGTTGGACAGTCATCAAAGCGACCATCATGAATTTGACCAAACTATGGGAGGCAGTGGAAGACAGGAGGACCTGCCGTGCTCTGGTCCATGGGGTCACGAAGAGTCGGACACGACTAAACGACTAAAGAACAACAACATAGGAAAGACACAATACAGAATGTAAGTTGTATCATCCATTTAACTTGGTAAGAAAAGGGAATAATTTGCCTCAGTGAAAGTCATTCTTTAAAAATTGTACACGAAATATAATCTGAACTCAGAATATGCAACATTTACAATTGTATTAAAATCAGTGTATATTAAACGATAGAACAAATAATACAAATTGCAGTCCTAAATATCCTGTTGGTTTTATATTTGTCTTGCCATAATTAGTTTTTTCATTAAACTTCTCCCATAATCAAAGATGAAAAATTCATTTAGAATTAATGCAAGACAGCTCTTAGGGCATAATTTGCATTGAAATTACTGTGTGTTAAGTACTTATACAGCTTAAACAGGAGTACATTAGCCATGGGGGTTATGTGAATAAACTGTTCAGTTATTGCTTCAGCAATGGCCCAGAGATATAATAAATACTCTGTTTGTTGCTTTAAACCTGTGTTTACAGAAACTGGGTCAGTGTATGGTCACAGCCTTTAATTAGCAATAAATTTCTGTTCTACCAAACAGACTGAAGTAAAGATATACTTATCTATATGAGTTTAAATATCACTAAGATAAGACAGATGTAATCATCTTGACATTTGTTGCTTATGGTATTGGTGGTTTTTTTTTACCTTTAACATTTCCCACTGCTTATCTGCAAAAAATACTGTTTACTAAAAGCACTTTCCTCAGAATATTTGGAAGTCTAAATAAAGACAATCCCACGTATTAGTGCAAAGTAAAAGTTTGCACTAATACATGGGAAGTCTTGTTAATTAAAAACATGGTCAGTTATTCAAATAGGAATAAACTTAAATTCTGATATTGTAAATATAAAACATGTCCAAACCTGTACTGTTAACTGTTCTAACAATATTTATATGTGAGTAAGTCACATTGATTCCGATGAGATTTGCTTCTAAGTAAGCAAACATATCAGTATGTAAGATTTTCCATAGCTGTTACCAAAAGGTGAACTAGCGGTTGAATTACAAATTCTTTGAGTTGTGGTTGATAGATCAATAAACATTTGTTGTACAAATACTTTGGTTTCCATCTCCCTGTTTCAGCAAAGGCATGGCTTGACCTGGGCTACTCATCCTTTGTAATGGGAATGAGATGGATCATTTTTCTGAGACGTTGCCCTTTGGTTTTTTGTTTAGATGCATTTTGGTGCATTGTTTTACTGGCCAGGCTTGAAGCATGAACTATACTAAACTACCTCTCAGGTTTAAATTAAATATTTAATATTTTTATATTCCTTTAGTGATCTATCTTTATCTCTTTCAAGAAAGCATGCAATACAAGTACAGTATTCTGTCTTAATTTAATTCAATGTGGTTTAAACTTGTCAATTGAAGTTCATTTTAGGAAACACAAAACCGAGATAATTTACACCTCTTCCCCCCCCCCCCAAATCGTTTCACTGTAATTGTGCAACAGTTACTTGATGGATCCTGAGTGTATTTTCCACTTCCTTTCTCTTCTGGAATGACCAAGGACCAGTATATTAAAATAACTCAAAATACTCCTTTCCTCCATAATTAATGAAAATGGCTTTTGGGCATTTTTCTTATTCAAATGAAAAACTGGTGGTAACGTTTCTAGTTATATTAGCAAGGAGCATCCCTCCCCCCGTTTTTGGCCATAATAAATGCTACATTCAGTCATTATTACAGATATCCCAACTGTAAAACTAATGGCTGTCCCCTATTTGACATTCAGTTGACCGGAGGTTTACACCATTGTGACAGCTGGTTAACGCAACTTGAGATTTTAAAGTGCCTGAGTATATGTAAATATTATGACTGATGACAAGCGTGTTGGAAGTTACTTCAAGAAATGTCCTATGTTTGATAGATTAACTTGAACAGTCCCCATTTATGTTTGAATACATAATCCTGAAAGATATCTTATCTCTTGGAGCTGAGAGGAAATGAATAGAGCAATTAAAACTGACCGTTGCGAGCAAAGTTATTTGTATGTACAGTTGTGTGCAATATTATAAGGGGGAAATAACATTTAGAATTATGTGGAGAGCCTCCCTAAATAGAGCCTCCATGTAAAGGGAGCAGTGGAACTGTCCACAAGGGTGATGAGGTAGTGTACATCCTCTCCTTATGTGCTTACTGTACTTGAATTTTGAACGTCTACATGAACTTGATACATGTAGTCTTAGAAATTCAAAGAGTATTATGTTGTTAAGAAGAGCTATGGTGGGAGCTTGGCAGTCTAGCAGAGGTGATGAATATGTGGCCTCCAGATGTTGGTGCTCTCTCTGAGGCTGATGGGATTTGTAGTCCAGAACATCTGGATAGTCATGTGTTCCATGCTTTCACTGCCCCTTCAGGTCAGGTCTTCAGATTCTTAAGTACCGCAGGTCTTCTGGGGTCTCCCCCACCTCTCCACTGTCTTGTCTTTAGCTCTGCTCCAATCTGCTATTATTTCTTATCAATTCCTACAAAAAACCATAATAGAACAGTAAAAACAACATTAAGGCTAAAATCCTATTGTTTTGTTACACATGAGAAGGCAAATTCTGTAACATTTAGTTCTTCCCAGCTAGCAATTAATAAGCGGCTGCTTGGATTTGGGGGGAGGGAGCACTTATGCTGGCTGGCTTGGTGCATGTAAAAACTGACTCAATTGCCACCTGGAAGGAACTGAATGTTACACCATTTGCCATCTCATGCATAACAAAGCAACAGGATTTCACTCTTTAAAGAGTAAAGCATTTTAAAAAGCCAACTTAAAAACATGTTGGCTTTCCATCTCTACCCTTTTTCAAACAATATCTCTTTCTTGCTGTTCCTGTCCTATGAAGACTTATTGGAAATTTAAAAGGGCTTAAATATACAAGATTTGGGAAAACATGCTCCTCATCATTTAATGGGCTGAATCCTATTGGCACAGTTGTGCTGGAATAAACTGGATCAGTGTGCCAGGAGCCAGAGGTTGGATGTTTCATTCTGCACTGTCCCTCCAGAGAGAAAAACCAGGCTATGTAGCCATGGGCAAACTGTACAGTCCCAGGATGCCCCTACTAGAAGAAGAATAAATAATAATCATATGCTGTCAATTCTGACTAAGCCAATTCATTATTTCTGGTGCCCCAGTGCAGTTTTGGCCAGTGCAAAGTCACACAATAGGATTTTGCCCAATGTTAGTTCATTGGAGAAACAATTGGAGCTGGGACTGGAATTTTCTGAAATCAGATCACAGAAAAAAATTCAACCTGGCTTTCTGTGAACTGCCTTAGTGCTTTTAGAATCTTACCCTCATTTACTACTTTTTCTTCATTACTTTTCAGCACCTGGTTTCACTGGAATTGTCGGAGGACGTCCTAAAGTGTAAGTTTAACATCATAACTCATATGTTATTGATTATTCTGTACTCCCCCGTTTTGCTAGCTGGGAATGGGCTCAGGTTGAGGCAAATGGACATTTCTGCTGGTAAACTTCACCAGAGAGGAAATTCTTTATAGCTTTTCTCTTCCACTCACAAAAACCATGGGAGTAACACAAAGACTGTGAAATGGGCGTTGTAAGGCACCTGGAATTTGGCCCAGAAATTGATAGGCAGCCAATGTAAACAATCAAGAATGCAAATGAGATGGTGTAAAGGGAGGTGAAGGCCATGTCATCTTTATATAAACAACATGAAAGCCAAACCACTAGATGACTTCTCCCTTCAGTAGATGTTGAAAAACATGGGGACAAGATGAAAGCTTTAGTCATTCCATTGCCATGACCAAGTGGAAAAGCTTTACTTTCTGTGAGTCTAGCCCTCATGAAAGTAGAGGGTACCCTGTAACATTGCCTCCAAATCCTATCCGGGAGAAACAGGCCAAAAGAGTGCTATGGTCAATGCATAGAACATCCTTAGGATCCCAGAAGAGCCAATAGTGTCATATTTCTTGCTTCCATTCATTGACATAAATCTATCCCAAACCCAGACCAGAAGGCAGACTAGAATGGATTTAAGTATCTATTATTATCCAAAACTATCTGGAGCTAGAATGGCAACACCCACTCCAAGATCTTGCATAGGAGTGCTAGATTTGAAACAGCTAATGGTTTTCCATAGCTAAGGGGTTTAGATCTGGATCCTGAAACAGTGATTTCACTATTGCTTCCCTCAGGCCTGATGGAACTGCCCTCTGCTCTAATGGAGCAACATGAAGACATATTGCCAGAAAAAATAAGGATATAATGAACAGGTGGTGGGCCTTAGGCCTCCAAGCAGTTTGACAGCATCTTCAGGCTACACTAACTGAAAAGTATCCACTTAGCAAGAAGACCAGATGGTGTCATTGCTATATCCACCTCCAATTGTGTCAAAACTGGCATTCAAGTCAGAGCAAATGTGAACAATTTTATCTGAAAGATGCAATGCAAATTGATCACAAGAAGAGTTCAGGGATCCAAGCAGCTTCTTGACCATCTGATAGAACTCTCTTGGCCAATACGGTGTGAATGCATTGCGATGACAGAATAGCTTTTTTTCTCTGTCATCACAGTTCCTTAATGAACTCAGTCTATTCACTCAGTGCTGTTCACTTCAAGTCTTAACATATGTTTTAATTAACATATCATGTTCATATTCACATCATAGTTGTATAATTGTTGTTGACCTTGCTCATTCTGAGCGCCTCAGGTCTCTACAATCATAGTTGCATAATTGTTGTTGACCTTGCTCATCATTCTGAGCGCCTCAGGTCTCTACAATAGGAGAGGTTGATCACCAGTTTTTTTCTTAGAAAAATGATTTTTTTTTTACTTGAAAAAGCCCCTTTGCAGCCACTAGTAGGCAATGTCTTTTAACTTTTGTAAAAGAAAATTGGAGTGTGTGGGGAGCTTGGGTTCTCGAGCTATTGGCACATGGAAAAAATTATTCACTATTTACTGTTTGGTGTGGGGGGGTACATTTGGTTCACTGCAAGTTGTATCTAGCCCATGGGCCACCCGTTGGTCATCCCTTCTCTACCGTTTAGCCAAGAATGCTTAGAAGCAATCATATTTATAGTTGTAGCCACCTCCAGAATAGACCAGCTTATTTCTTTTAATTTAAATTTACCTTTTTGTCAATATGGGGATCCAAGGTAGCTTATGAAATGGTTAAAATAAAAAAAACACAGATAAAACTAAACCCACAATAATGCCATATGTAATTTGAGACAGACCCATGGTTTGTATGGCAGTTATAACTTGAGTTGCTCCATGTGAAACAGCTTCAGTGTGGGTATTAAAATTCCCCTTTACCGTATTAGCTGGTCATAACAGTTCTGCTCAGAATTGCATTGTCAAGGATACTGCATAGTTTAAAATCCACCCATGCTGTAAATAATTAGGCTGATGTCAATGCTGAAGCACTGTTTTTGAGATGCATACAGGTGCTGAATGACAGCAGTGCTACATTAATTTGCCTTTCTCTTCCCCACTGTGTTCTTTTTCATAGATCTCCAGTTCTGAAACCATTTTTCTTCCTTTATCCTAAAAAGAATGTCAAGGTAGGAACTGCTGTGTAAGCAGCAATTTTGAAAGTAGCTACTTCTTCCTTTCGTCTCTTCTGGCTATCCTATCAAAATGAAAAATCTGTGTTGATTCACTAGAATTCTTGCATCATCCTGAGTGAGGCTAGAACAATACGTCCAAAATCTCTGCCTTTCTTGCCTAAATGCAAGTAGGAGTCTTTGCTTCATAATTACCATTTGTGAAAGCAGTGACCTCTGAGGCTGCTCTGAGGGCTTAACAAAGAAAATCATGAGGACTTTCTGCTTTCTTTTCACTCTCCACCTACAAAACAGCCTGTTCTGTGGTGCTTAATCACCATTAGAGTCCTCTGCAGAGAGTCAGAAGAAAACCAGTGTTCTTGGCAATAATGAATCATGAATGGTAACAGTTACAGAATCCCATGTTTAATTTATTGTTAGATAAGACTGAGGATAAATCTAGATGAGATACTGTACTCAGCTTGCATTCAGAAGTATAAAGCCTGGTTCTTCTTTGTGGCCTCTGTGAATGCACACAAATGGGTTGTTCTGTGGCTGTGCAGGAAGTTTCGGAAGTTTCTAGAGCTTAAAAACATGTGATAATGAGACGGTCCCCCATGGAGCTCATGCTCCGCCCTCCCAACGTCCCCTCAGTTCCTTTTTACCGCCACTTCGGTAGGATGTATTGGAACGCTAGAGCGAAAGAGCGAGTATTCTTTTATAGATTGTTCATAATTAAATCTAGATTCTAATTATGATTTTTTGACGTTCCCTTGTGATTACCCCATATATTTTCTCCTGCATCACAGTTTTTTTTAATCTTCCCGTGTTTTTCTCCCACTGCCCGGTTTTCCCCCTTCTTTCCCATTTTTATGGCCCCTCCAGGACTATTCAAGCGGTGCATTATTTGCGTCAATAAAATACCGCTGACTGACGGGCATGATAAATGCTTATTTTACCTAGGGAAGCAACATCAAACCCAATCGTGCCCTGAATGCAAGAAGCTCACAAAACTGGCACTCAAATTAAGATTGCAACGCTTAAGATCTTACCTCTGGGGATGATCCCTCAATCCAAGTATGGAAGCGATAGCTTCACCAACACCCAAGGATTCACTTAGATCTGACCCAGCTTGCTCCATATCGAGTTGGACACCTGTTCCAGCTAGGCAAAAGGAAACGTCAAAACCACCTTTAAAGTCGAGCTCAACTTCCACCTCTAGAGTTCCGACTCACTCTGATGACCCTTCAAAAAAGAAAAAAAGATCAAATCAAAGAAAACATCAAAATCTACTCATATTGAACCTCCACAAGCCATGATTCCATCTCCAATTTTAGAAGAATCATCCCGGGAGGCTCCTCTTACAATGTCTCACAGGAATTATCATACTCTAACGAATCAACCATTGATTTTGCCAAGTCTATTCCCTTCTCCTTCTATATCCATACAGTGCATGCTCCACATGCTAGATGTCTCTAGCCTTTCATATTAACAGGACAAGGATATTCAGGAAGTCTCTCCAAAACTCTTCCTGTGCTTCCAAGGTCCTCACAAGGGCGCTCCAGCATCAGCTCAAACCATCTCTCGCTGGATAGTTCAGACTATCTCACTGGCCTATGAACTTTCAGGCAAGACACCTCCTGAACACTTGAAGGCTCATTCCACCAGAGCGTTATCAACATCCACTGCTCTCCACCGTGGAATAGAACTACCAAATATCTGCCGAATTGCTACCTGGTCCAATCCTTCGACCTTTGTCAAACATTATCGCCTTGATGTCAGGGCAAAGAATGATGCTGCATTGGGCAGAGCGATCCTGACATCTCTTCTACTGTGACGTCCCACGATCCGGTAAGTGAGCTTGTCGGTCACCCGTTTGTGTGCATTCTCAAAGGCCATGAAGAAGAAAGAGAGGTTACCTACCTGTAACCATTGTTCTTCTAGTGGTCCTCTGCGAATTCACACATCCCTCCCATCCTCCCCTCTGTCCATCACATTGTCTTTTAATACACTACCTTGACAGCGGTGGACTATGGAAGGAACTGAAGGGATGTTAGGACAGCAGAGCATGCGCTCCACGGGGGAACGTCTCATTGTGTTTTTAAGCTCTAGAAACTTCTGAAACATCCTGCACAGGTGCAGAACAATCCATTTGTGTGAATTCACAGAAGACCACTAGAAGAACCCTGGTTACAGGTAGGTAACCTCTCTTTTTGCCCCTCCTCCCTAAATATATGTTTCTCAGGGATACAGGCCTGCGGGCAATCAGATGTGCAAACTGAGCAGATGTTTACCATCCAATGAGAAATCACAGAACAAAACTTATAAGAATGCAAGATATAGAGCTGAGTGCAAGCAAATGCTGTGATAGACTTCATTCAGCCCTTATGGAAGACATGCTTCTAGCAACCTGATAGCTGTACCAGCCAGAATCCAAGGGAAAGAATTAGGCAGGTATAACACCACTGGCATATGCTTTCACTATAAATTACAACAATTTAAGAAGTCAGCTGCATTTGCACATCGCTGACTGTTCCCAACAATTTTTTAGCTTGTGGTAGGTAGTTCACAGCTGAGGTTTATGTAATACAGTGATGCTGGCAGCTATAATTAATAGGAATCAAGCCATGGACTAGTTTGACTCTGAAATGAACACACAGGAGATTGCCTATTTGAAAGTGTCCCCTTTTAGAAGATATCTCTTGCTATGCAGTTAGCATTCAAAAAGAACATTCAGTCAAACATGCTTATTTTATATGAGCTGAGGGATTTTAACATGAAGATCCCACTCAGACATTTCTAGATGTGAATTCCATCCCGGCCCTTGTTTCTAGCCACCCCCACCCCCCACTGTATTTAGAAGTAGTACAGTCAGTAGTATTTCTTCAGCTTAATGCTTGAATCAGCTTTCATTATTTTCACAGAGGTGTGCAGTTTCAGAAACCAACCAAAAGTGAAAATCTGTTGCATAAGATTTTCTTCCCAAAGATGCTGATACTGTACAAAGATTCTATTATATGGCTTGTAGGAAAGCCTTGTTTTGTTCCAGTGGCAAAGAAGGATCAGTGGGGCTTTTCTTCAGCTTTTATGTAATTGTATTAACTTTAGAATAGAGTATGTGTAGTTTTTTAGGTTACAAAGTTTAGAACTCTTGCTAAGCAAACAAAACAACAACTCAACATCTACATCCCTTTTTTGTTTTTTGTTTGCTTTGGATGATGTAGCAGAGAGAGCTGAAAACATCTTCCAGTGAACATTTCCTCAAATCATGGGGGAAAGTAGCTTACTATTAACGTAATTCTCACAAAACCCTGTGAGGTAGGTCATGTAGCCGGAGTGTCTGGGTTAAGGTTGACCAATCAAATGTACATCCTAGGTAAGGACTAGAACCTGTATTTTTCAAATCTAATTTTAATATCCTAATCATGTCACCACAACACACATAACTGATATTGTCTATGGGGTAATGAAACATTTGTTCTGCGAAATGTTTGTGAACGCTGGTGTTAAAACATTGTCAGCAGATGCTCAGAATAGGAGATGTGTCAATATAGACACTAAATACAAAAAGATTTGCCCATTTTACATCTGATTTTTTAAAAAATTTTCTGTACATGGCATTAAATTAAGATTTGCTTGTTTAATAGTTTAAACCAGTTTTTTTTTCCAGATTAATATCTTTATGAATGGGCAGCATGTTGAGACATTTGAGGAAGATCTTTCATTCACTTCAGACATAGCTGTTTCACATGATCAGCTTGAGATTCAAGAAGAGTTAAAAGGTACTGATGTTTATTGCTGAAATTTCTCCATAGCTAACATTTTATACGTAGGTCCTCTTTATAATGTTCTGCATACTGCTGCTGAAATTTCTCCATAGCTAACATTAGGTCCTCTTTATAATGTTCTGCATACTGCAAGTTTCTTCCAGTCTTGTTAGATAGAACAGATGTAAGTATAGCATGCTGTCTTTAAACATATCCTCAAATATTTTTATATCTGAAATACTTGCATTGTCAGATATGTGAAATATATTTTTCTGAACAGTTTGCAATGAGAGCTGTTTATTTTTTTAGATGAAGGAATATACTTAAAAATGTGCGAGCAATAACCAGCTGGGTTCCAATCTGTTACCAAACAAAATTAACACTTGTCAGCGATTAAAGTTTTATATGGGGTGAGGCACTACACATGATCTGCCTAATTATCTAACACTATTCCACTTGTGGAATTACAGTTTTTAATAGGATAAGCAAGTATTACAGGGCACCATTAGCTTGCATGCCAGAATTTTTACCTTACCCAGTTTATTCTAGAGCCTCAAACTACCTAATTGCTAAAAACAGATTAAGGAAATTATATAACCAAAGGCTTTTTTATGACTAGGCTGTAACACTATCATAAATAATTTCACCTGGAAACTTGTTAGGGCATTTCTCAATCTGTGTTGATACATTTGAAAATTTGTTTCTAAATTATGAAAAATGCAGTGCCAGACTGAGGCAGGAGGAGTCTAGGTTCAAATCATTGCTTGCTCATTAACCTTACTGGGTGATTTTGGCCAACTCACTGTTTCTCAGCTCCATATACACTTTGCAATGCTGTTGTGAGAATAACATAATTGTGGGATTAAAACATGTGTTTTTTTAAACCCCATCTGAAGTAGACTCATTGAATGAATGGAACTCACAGAAGTACAGTGGGGTCTCTACTTAAGAACTTAATCCGTATTGGAAGGTGGTTCTCAAGTTGAAAAGTTCTTATGTTGAACCTGCATTTCCCATAGGAATGCATTGAAAACCATTTAATCCGTATCTGCTCTTTTCCGTCCATAGAAACTACAGTGGAACCTCTACTTAAGAACTTAATCCGTTTTGGAATGGTGTTCTTAATTTGAAACGTTCTTAAGTTGAAGCAAAATTTCCCATAGGAATGGACTGAAAACCAATTAATCCGTTCTGGCTGTTTTTTTGTTATGTAGAGGTGCGTTCGTACATTGAAGCATTAGTTCCCATAGGAACTAATGCAAAGCTGGTTAATACGTACTCTACCACTAGGGGGAGAATTTTGTTAACCTAAGATGACCTAAGGTTAAAAAAAGAGCAGGAAAGGTTTTTTTCCCTGTTCTTATCTTGGATTTCTGTTCTCAAGTAGAAGCAAAATTTAGCAAATGGAGCTGTTCTTAAAAACCCCCGCTGAAGTAGACTCAGTGAATGAATGGGACTCACAGAAGTACTATCTACTGAAACTCGTATTCTTGCAGTGAGTCTTATCCAATTGGGACTAATAATTGTCATTAACTGAAAAAAAAGGAAGGAACATTTTGTTTGACTTCTAGATTCTTTTATAAATGACAGAATTTTCTGAAATTTTCCATTGGTGCCCTAAGTATAAAGAAAAACTTTAAAATCACACCATTCACCATGTTTATGACATTGACCATTATAACATTAATACAGTGTTAATACGTACTCTACCACTAGGGGGAGAATTTTTTTTTTAACCTAAGATGACCTAAGGTTAAAAAAAGAGCAGGAAAGGTTTTTTCCTGTTCTTATCTTGGATTTCTGTTCTCAAGTAGAAGCAAAATTTAGCAAATGGAGCTGTTCTTAAGTTGGATTGTTCTTAAGTAGAGACGTTCTTAAGTAGAGACCCCACTGTACTATCTACTGAACAACTCGTATTCATGCAGTGAGTCTTATCCAGTTGGGACTAATAATTGTCATTAACTGAAAAAAAAGGAAGGAACATTTTGTTTGACTTCTAGATTCTTTTATAAATGACAGAATTTTCTGAAATTTTCCATTGGTGCCCTAAGTATAAAGAAAAACTTTAAAATCACACCATTCACCATGTTTATGACATTGACCATTATAACATTAATACAGTATTATGAAGTACAGAGCAGCAGTGTTGGGCCAGATTTATCTACAGAGGCTTTTCACTATAGAAGAAACACAACTTCGATATTGTTTAGTTATCTTTTATTTGTTATGCTCCTGGATTTCTATGAATAGATGAGAAGCACAACAAGTGTGATAGCGACGATTCCACATAGCGACGATTTTTCTGGAATGGATTATTGTTGCTGTGCGGGGCACCACTGTATTATGAAGTACAGAGCAGCAGTGTTGGGCCAGATTTATCTACAGAGGCTTTTCACTATAGAAGAAACACAACTTTGATATTGTTTAGTTATCTTTTATTTGTTATGCTCCTGGATTTCTATGAATAGATGAGAAACACAAAAAGTGTGTTTATTACACATATGCTCTTTTCATCTGGATAAAGGATGAAAGGAAATTATTCCTTTTATACTCACAATTATGAGGTGCATTAGGATGAGTAGCCTAACATGATCTAATGAACTTTAGAACTAAGTGGGGATTTGAATTTCTCAGTCCTGACCTGACACTGTAACTGCTCCACTATGATGCTATGTTAGTGGTGCCTCTGATGATGTCTTGATTTAATTAGAATTTGTAATTATTGTTTTCAAAAAGAATGTAGAGTTTACAGTATTTTATTAGGTGTGCCAGTTCATCACAGCAAAGAATAAAGCTAAAGCTATTGGTGGGGACAGTCCACCCATCCAGTTGCTTTGAAGCCTTGGGAACATTATCCCTGTAGATACTTCATGTATCATATTGTATCATATGTCCATGTTTTTGAGAAAGTAAAAAAAGAAGAAGCAGTTTTTCAAATTCTAGAACGTAGTGAAGATGAATGATGGAAAATTCAGGATGGACACAAAGAAATACTTCTTCACACAGTGCCTGGTTAGATTATGGAATTTACTTCCCCAAGATACAGTGGTGGACCATGACTGACTTGTACCTCCCTCCACTACCCTATCTTCTTTGGTTTTATTGTGAAGTACAGCATGGGAATATATGTGTTCTGATAAGGGGATGGAATGTCCATTTTCCTACTTGGACCAAACCTAGAGATATAGGATAGGATTCAGCAGTTGATTTCTTCTGGCAAAATAACAAAACCCAGCAGAATAAAGAAGCAGGGAAAATCTGCTTGCCTGTGCCGGCCAAAACCACCCATGGGAAACCATCCCCAGACATTTTTGGATAGCATGGAGGACGGCGGGTTGGAGGATTGGGGAAGAAAGTTGCATCCCAGAGTGCTGGACATAACTATAGGAATAGGAAGTGTAGTTCAGACTCATCTTCTTTTCATTTCTGTGGAAAACTAAAGTGGCTCTGTGAGAAAAGTTTTCTTTCCTGTAAAACTAAGAATGTATATGTGGAAAATGATTCAAGATTTTAAAAAAAGCAAAACTCCTGAATATAAATCAGAACAACATTTTTTTCTGAAGCAGGGGAGAAAGCAGTAATTTGTTTCATTCTGTATACACAGACCTACCAAATGGTCCACATACCTATCGCCTGGAAGATCTTGCCTATACCAGGAGTGGGGACAAAGGGAACTCAGCAAACATAGGTACTCTTTACTATTCATTCAAGGTATCCTTAATGTTTCCTTTCCGATCATGATAGTCCCCAAAGGGGATAGCAAAATGTTTTTAAATGTTCCTGTACACTGTGGCTTGACCTCTTCGTTCTCCATGTATTCTTCCACAGTAAAAATAACTGATGGTCTTGTGCATTTGGTCCCTCCATCCCATTCCGTTTATGTGTTTTAAATCTGAAGGATTCCTTAAAGGGCAAGGCTAGTGGGAATGTGTGTGAATTAGACCCAAAGTAAAATGAATGAGGGAGATGAAAGACTTGAATATTCCACAACAATTATTTTTGTTCTGCTGCAGTAGTGAAGGTGTTATTCATTCAGTGCTTTTCTCCTTATTTATATTTCAAAGAGATTTACGGTTGAAGGAAGAAAATGAGCATATATGAGAACAATTCTATAAAGTTGTATTTTGTAATCTCAACTCAGTATCATATGGTTAGAATAATAGCAGGACGGATGGTAGAATATGTGTATTAAACCTCTCTATTAATGAGCTGCTTATGCTTACTTAGGTTTTGAGGGGTCTCCACCTTCGTTGATTACTATAGAAAGGGAGGTGTTTTTTGTTTTGTCATGGTGCCCAGTGTTTGCTTGGGACTTTGTCACATTTTGGGCAGTAGTGAATGAAATCCATCCTACACTCTGAGTCTTAAAAAGCTTTTAGCAGTATTTGTTTTCTTTGGCTTACCTTGTTTGCTGTTATTTGGGGTACTGTTTCTTCCTGCAAGCCTCACAGCTGTTTTGTCTGCCATGTTTATTTTGTTTCATTGCTTGTGTTTGTAAATCTTATTGCATTGTAATGTCTTTATTGTATTATAATGTCTTTATGGTAAGCTGCCTTGAGCCTGTTTTGCAAGAGGTGAAATATAAATATTTTACATAAATAAAATATGGTTTTTACTGTGGCTTTTATTTTAAAATAAAAGACGGCCTCTAATTTTCAAAAATTTTACAGGTGATGAAAGGCACTCTTTTAATATACTTTTTATTGCCTTTTATTGGCAAGGACAAATCATCAGGAGTAAAGACAACAGCATAGGGAGGACAGTACTTCCTCCTTAATGATGCAAATAATATATTTCTAGCCCTGGGTAAGATCTGAGTAGCTTTTAATTTTTAAATAATAGAACAGTAACTGGGTATTTTCTGTTTGTGTAACAATAGGTGTCATAGCCCGGCATCCCCTCTATTATCCTTATCTGAAGAAAACATTAACTGCTCAGACTATAGAAGATTATTTCCAGCACCTTTTGGAGAAAGAACAGTCTGGAAAGAGCTTGGTCACAAGGTATGTGCTCATTAATGTGCTCATTCGTATCAGTACATTCCTGTGGTGCAGTTTGAAGAAACTGTTTGGAATTCTTTGACTACAAGGAAATATTCAAATAAGCTTTGAATGTTATGCTAGGCAGGAATTCAACTTAGGCAGAATGTCGGTCACAAATAAATGCTCTACATAATGGCTTGATCCATTCCCACATGTAGAAGTGCAGCACTATACTGAGTAGTTAAAGAAATCCGCAGTAAGCTACCGTCATGTTGAGGTTCACAGTAAAATGGAGCCACTGCTGTGTAAGTTGGTCCTACTTATAGCAGTGGGAAGAATTTTAAAAATTCATTGAAAGTTGATATATTGGGATAAAACAGATTTCTTGTAATGTCTGTAAAGAGTGAATAGACTTGCTTGAGTCCCTGTCAGGTATAATAAATACCCTGATATGGGATTGGAGTTGTGTGGGGATGTGCCTTTCCTATCTCCAACAGTCTTTGATCCTCTATACACCTATAAAATATACAGGTTTGATGTTGGTACAGATCTTAGGGTGTGACTAAACTGGTATTAGTCCTGTTAATTTTGCTGAAGTTCTCACTGGTAATTTTAGGGTTTCTTCTTTGTGGCCCTTGTGACTCACTCACACACAGGTCTTGGCAGCTGTGTCAAAACCATCTTCAGAATTTTCCAGAGTTTTGTGGATTTCTAGATAGGCCCTTCCCCCCTCCTCTGTCGTACATGCCTCATTGCATGAGATGGCCTTCTCAGTTCCTCTTTTTCTGCCAGGCCAGCAGCACTCTGAGGCACCTTCTGGAGCAAAGAAGAATGCTTTTATCATGAAGTAGCTTTCTAAGATAATTCCTCATTTGAAAATATTTTTTGTGCTTTAATTTTTAACAACCACCACCACCATCATCGTCATCCCCTTCGAGGGCACAGGCCTTGTTGAGGTGGAAGGGTTGACACGTTTCAGTGAGGTTGAGAGCTATACTGAAGGTCTCCCAAGCCAGAGAGGTCTCAGCTGAGAAAGCAGACCAACTCTGTCTACCAACCATCAATTGTGATGAGAGGAAATAAACAGAAATCCATAAGTTATGGCTTCAAATATTTTTGTCCCCACACTGCCATTTGCTAAACCAAAGTGAAAATATTATCCTTCACATATAGTTTGGTCAGATGATTGTTAAAATATTGTTTACAGTGGAATGTGGGAGAAATGGGTGTGGGAAGTTCTCACATCTAAATGTGTGAAGGTAAGGTGAAGGTTTATTATAGCCATTGATCATTAAAACCATGAACATATACATTAAAATGCACAATAAAATGATATCACACTAGATAAGGTTGTACGTCTGATAAGCTATGTAGACTCTAATCAGCTCTATCTCCTATACCTTATCTCTAGTATTTCCTATTCTGTCATTATTTAGCCACTTATCCCTTCATTTTATGGCTACCCATCCAAATTTTGTTACCTCTTTATTCTTATCCTCCAAAAGCTTCTGTAGGCACTCCTTCCTATTTGTGCCATCCAAGGAAGGTATATTAGGTTTAATGACCTATTCGCAAATCCGCTCATAAATTTTACACTCTAAGATGACATGACTCAGTGTCTCTTTAGCCCCCTCACCATATATATACAATCGACTCTTGTAAGGGGTATTGTATCTTCCCAGCAACACCACAGATGGCAACAAGTCCACGTGCAATAACATAAAGGACCTTCTGGTTTCAGGATACTCTAAATCGTTTAAGTATGGCATTGGTAGCAATCTATTCAAGGGATTTATTTTAATAAATCCTTTGGCCTTATTTATATCATGTTGTCTTTATATAGCTAAGATCCTTTGCTTAATCAATTTTTTTTTTGCCTGGATCATATTCATTGACAATAGGTAATGATGTGAAAATTCATAATACCCTAGCGTATGTTCCAGCATCTTCTGCCATGGGGAAAATGTGTGAAGACTATATGAGTGCTTTTAAATTAAGAAGATTTCAAATCTAAGTTCTAACAAAATTGATCACATATTTGTCTTTGTAGTAAGATTTCACACAAATAATTCAACTTTTATGTGGCTAGGCTTTTTTTAATTTTGGCAATGAAAAACAGGGTCCAATGCTACTTTATCAACTAACAGTATGTTTACTATACAGTACTGAGATCTTCGTTAGGTATTAGAATGGAAAACATCCTGATGAATTTATATGTGAAAGTATCTTTTGGCTAGAGCACAGGTGATTCATGACTAGAGCATGAGGGAAAATCTTAATGTTTAGCAAGTGCTGAACTGACAAGACATGGGAAGTATTTGAATTAGCGCTGTGCCAGTTTGGTGCTATGGCTGTAGAGGAGAAAAAAGACAAGCAAAGGGAATAGGGCTCATTCCCACCCCACACTCTACTCTGCATATCATCATCAATGATATTCTCTGGATATACTCAGAAATTGCCCCAGAGGACTAATACAGGTGATCACAAAACAATGTGATTGGAAATGCTACGAACACCACCACCACCACCACCACCAGAAATCCTGTGAACTGAACAAAATTTACCACATGCACATGCCAGAAATTGGACCTATTCACAATTAGCACTAATGTCTTGTGGTCAATGGAATAAATATAGAAATGAACATGGCACAAATAGCAGGACAAAGATCCATCTAGTCACTCAGGCATCTAGTTAGTGCTGAATGGTGGGAGATTGGGGAGAGCAAAAGGAAGTACACTCACACACAATACATAACAAAGGAATTTGCTACCAATTTGAATGGCTTTAAGAGAGGGTTAAAAGAAATCATGGAGAATAAGGGTGTCTAGCTTGCTGAATATGTGCTGGAGTGATTTCTTGGGGCTGTCTGCTGTCTGTTTTTTTGTAGTGTTATAAGGTTAGTGTTTTGTAGTGTTATAATGACCTGAGGTTGTTGTTTGAATCTCATACATTTGACCTTGACAAAGCTGTCAATGACTACTCACTATGATGACTGTCTACTACCACCATTATCTGAGAGTTTGGAATACTAGCTGTAGAGGGGTTATGTCGGGCTGTACTTTGTGGCTAAATGCTCCTTGTGGTCTTCCCATTGAGTCATCTAGTGGGCTACTCTGGTAAGAATGCCTGAAAAGTGGTCTTTCATTTAATCTAGCAGGACTCTTATGTTCTTATGAAATGATAAGAGTTATGGTTTGGGTTAATGAATCACTCAAACATCTGTGCATATACAGACACGCTACAGATTTTCCATTACTGCTATACAGGTATGCATGCACCCAGAAAGTCTCATTTCCCCTCTTCCATGCCCAAGTAATCCTCACATTTTATCAGAGACTATTTAGGAAGTTGTAGCAAGTTTGAACCTGGTGGTGCAGTCATGGCCACATGGCCTGGGTGGTACATGTGGTAATGCAAGTTGAAACAAAACAAGAGCCATAGAATATTTATTTATTTATTTTATTCAACTTGTATGCCGCCCGCAACCTGCAAGGGTGTCCTATGCTTACACCTAAGTAATACCTAAGTAATTTGCATGCGGACTTCTTAGTAAAACCTGGGAGCAGCCTGCTAGCTACAGTGGGAACAGTTTTAAGGAAGAAAGAGTGATAGGCTCTGTTTCACATGGGGAGTTGACCCTCAGAATTGGCTTTTTGACAGGTTTGGTGGCTGATACAATTGACCGGAAATGATAGAAACAGCTTATTTCATGCAATTTATAAACTACCTTGAACTCTATATTTAGGGTTGGGATTTCCCACTGTGTATCTCAGGAGAAGATTTGGTGTGTGTAGCCTTGGGCAAGCAGAAATGAACCAGTAGCCAATGAAGGGCAGCCAGAATGGGGGAGATGTGCTGAAATTTTTCACCCCAGTTATTAATCTGGACGCCAAATTCTGAACCAGTTGTAGTCTCTGCATCAACCTCAAGGGTGCCCCCACATAGAGAGCACTGCAGTAGTCTATTCTTGAGATTACCACTGCATGTATCAAAGTTGTGAGTGCCCCCGCATCTAGATAGGGGCACAGCTGGGCAGTCCTTTGAAGATGGAAATGGGCTACCCGGACCACAGATGTCACCTGAGTTTCCATGGTGAGATCCAGGTCAAAGCAGATGCCCAAATTGCAAACCTCATTCTTTATGGGAAGAGTCACTCGAAGCAGATGCCCAAATTGCGAACCTCATTCTTTATGGGAAGAGTCACTCCCCCAAAGGAAAGTGGAATTCAGACTATTAAATGTTTTTTTTTCTTTCTTTACATCAGAATAAACTGTTTTGATATTTCAGAGTTAGCCACTGTAGTGAGTGGTAATGCTCATCTTGTGAACATTATGATTAAAGGAAACAGGCTTTCGCCATTGTAAATTTTATACTATTAAAATACGTTAGTATTTTGAGGTGACTGTCATTAAATGTGTATTATTGCTCTTATCCATTTCAAAGTGTGATTTCTAAGTTTTTCTTAAAAGGTATTAAATTTAAATCAAAGGAATTGTAAGAACATGAATACAAGATAAAACTTGTATTTTATCTTGTATTTATCTTGTGATATCCTCTGCCCAGTCTGCACCAAGAGGAGCGTTGCCAGGAATATATGGATTAAATTTTGTCCTTAAAAACTCCCTTGGGGGTGGAGGCACAGCATCTCTAAGAAGTGACCCACAGGTAAGTATCAGATTTTAATGGGGTTGCTATATTAGTTTACTTAAAGAAACAGAAAAAATAATATGGTGCTTGTGACAAACCCAGACCTACTTGCCCAGTCTGCACCAAGAGGAGCGTTGCCAGGAATATATGGATTAAATTTTGTCCTTAAAAACTCCCTTGGGGGTGGAGGCACAGCATCTCTAAGAAGTGACCCACAGGTAAGTATCAGATTTTAATGGGGTTGCTATATTAGTTTACTTAAAGAAACAGAAAAAATAATATGGTGCTTGTGACAAACCCAGACCTACTGGGATCTGCCCAAAGGTATATAATGTCTCATGAAATTATTGTGGAGTCAGTTCCTTAGAACCTTCTTTTTTCCTGCTATCTAACTTACACATAAAATTGCTGGAAAGATTGTCCAGGGTTCTGAAAATTCTGCCATTGGTA